TAACTCTAAATACATATACATATACATACATACATGTTTGTGTGTTTGTGTTTTTTTGTGTGTGCGCACGCATATATACACGCACACACATAATACATAATTACAATTATAATGTAAAATGATTTAAATTTTAAAATTCAGCATTTCAGGAAGTCTGTTTAAAAAAAATATTTTAGCCACTTAAAATAGATCTTTTTACTATGTTTTGCATCTTCAAGTCATTTAAATAGTTAAGAAAAAGAAGCAGATACCTCTTGATTGATTAAAGCAGTACAGTACAACTATCCAAAAAGCACTGAAGGGGTCCAGAAACAGAACTGTCAATTTGTTGGTAACTAGAGAGTGAATTCCTATAACTGATATTTCCACAAAAAGAGCAAGGAAGGATTAAGAAAGAAAAAGATTATTATCCTCCATGTCTAGTTCTCTGGTCTTTAGATAAATAGGAAACCCAAGGCCCAAGTTTCTGCAATCAACAGGATACATCTTTAAACATCCTGAATAATTATTCTGAAACTTACGCAATCGATCAAAGGACTAAAAAAAGCATCTTGCTTTTGAATATGAAGACACCTTTGTTGGAACACAAACAATAAAGTACAAAAGGATATAATTCTGCTTTTAAAAAAACCTTTATATTCTAAAAAAACAGATTTTTTTCATTTCATAGCAAATAGCTTTCAAATATCTTCAATGAATTCTTAATCTTCCTGTTAATTCAATGCTAGACAGATGATTGGAAAAACTTTAATCATGCAAATTACACTACAATCATGCAAATTATTGGCAACATTTTTGGCAGTGGTTTCTACTGCTTCTGCCTAGAGCTGAGTGACTGGTCCAAAGTCATCCAGCTAGTTGTTCTTAAACTAGAACTCAGTCTCCTGATTTCTACTTCAATGCCCTGTAAGCATATCATCAAACTGGCTCTTAGGCTAGATCAGGAAATTAAAAAAACACTAATACAAAGCATGTATTGCCCTATGACAGTTAATTGTTATGCATATTTATGATTGTAGGTAGCAAGGCAGACAAAATGAAAAGTGGATAAACGTAGAGAAAAAAATTGAACTGATGATAACATGCTATTCCAAAAATGGAACGATGGTAAATGGAGAATTCTGGATGTTGAAGTCCACAAGTCTTAAAGTTGCCAAGTTTGAAGACCTCTGGTATATACTATGCTACCACTACCCACTCTTATATTTTGCTTTCCAGTAGCTCACTTTTAGATCACACTGTTCCATTAAGCTAACTTTATGCAACTCGCAAGATGGCCAATTTAAATACAATCTGTACAATACCACACGTCTCAAAAGCTACACTGACACTCGTATTATTACCGCGATCCGCCTTTTATTCCATTGAAATGCACCCCAATAGTTGTGCACCCCAAATAAGGCCAGGTCAACTCATGCACTCGTGAACGAATTGCGAGTTTGTCCTCTGCAGGCGTGAGTTGAAGCATTTTCTACGGTATTCAACGTACAAGAATCCAATCCCTTGCTTTCTGCCACGGAAATGAACGGAGAACGAAATAAAATGCGAAAGTCTTGCTGGGCCTAGACATAAATCTCGCTGGACTTAGATATGCGGCGCACTTTACCTAGGGCCAAGCGATTGCCGCGATGCCCTCAAGCAACGAAAAAGCTCCGAAGAGTTGCAAGTTAACTGTCAACTTATGAATTAAGGGCCTAGCAAGTGCATCTGCGGATCAGAGGCCCCGCCCCCCCGCCCCCAAACTCCATTGTGCGCTTCCCTCGAGAAGGAAGGAAGCGGTATAAGGCCTAAGGTGGGAAAGCTCGGGAAATGAAACCACCCCCCGGAGGGCCTTGGCTGCCTTTCCCACTGGACCACGGAGCTCACCAATCCGCCGGCAGCGTTGGCGTCCTGCCCCGGCTGCTACTAGGGGCACTGGCCGAAACCTCGGTGTTTCTTGCGGGGCTATCGCTGCCACCGTCCTGACTCTTCTCCGCAGGCTTTGAGAAAAACGTGAGGAGGCTGCTCTGGCGGGACATGGCGGCGGCTGGGAAAAAAGAAAGGAAAAACCAGCAGGCAAAGCCGGGAAGACGGTGCAAGCGGTTCTGCGCCTCCTCCCTCCTCCTCCGTCACGCTGGCTGAGCAACGCGCGAAATCTGGCTCCCCGCCCCCTCAGCTCCGAGGGGACCCTCCCAGCGCAGTTCCGGCCTAAGAAAGAGCCCGCCTTTTGCCCTACTTAAAAGCGCCGCGACTTGGCTGCAGGCCGAGCGAGCGGGAAATGATCCCATTGAGGGCTTCTCGCCAAAAGAGCCTTCTCTAGCTATGCTGGAATCGAAGGACTCTTTTAGCAACGGAGAGCCGGGAAAAACGAGCCCTTCCGGGTTAGGAATAATTAGCTTAATCGGGAGTGTCTTTCTCTTCATATGTCTTCTCGTTGGATTGGTCTACACAGCTCTCATAGTCTGCCTTCCCGCCTGCATGGGCCAGAATGGCGAGCGTTGTAGGGCGTTTCGCCCAATAGAAGCAAAACAGTGCAGCGGCAAAATGCATTCCGGGCCCCTATTTTTACCGCCGGAAGGAAACAGAATAGGGGTTCTGTTCTGAAGCAACGAGGTGGGGAAGGAGCTCCTTTAGTGCCAGTCTCTGTCTTTTTATAGTTATTTTAATGATAGTTTGTTGCCTCCACACAAAAAGCATTCCATCAACAGAAAGCAACAGATTGGAATGTGCATTTAAGCATAGACATCAAACACTAATTTTACCCCCAAGTCCTGCTTTCTTTTAACGGTCGTATACATTAACATACATGAAATGTGTGTTCAAGTGTTAATACCACTTTATAATGCCTTGGTAAGACTACACCTGCAGTACTGCATTCAGTTTTGGTCGCCACGATGTAAAAATGATGTGGAGACTCTAAAAAGAGTGCAGAGAAGAACAACAAAGATGATATGGGGACTTGAGGTTAAAACATGAAGAACATTTGCAGGAACTGAGTATGTCTACTTTAATGAAAAGGAGGACTAGGCTAGACATGATAGCAGTGTTCCAATATCTCAGGGGCTGCCACAAAGAACTATTCAAGCTATTATCCAAAGCACCCGAGGATAGAACAAGACACAATGGGTGGAAACTAATCAAGGAGAGAAGCAACTTAGAACTAAAGAAATTTCCTGAAAGTTAGAACAATTAATCAATGGAACAACTTGCCTCCGGAAGTTGTGAATGCTCCAACACTGGAAGTTTTTAAGAAGAGATTGGATAAACATTTGTCTGAAGTGATGTAGAGGCCTAGGACGTCGTAACGTATTTTCATAATATGTGTGCAGATCCAAGCAGTGTGGCCTTTTGCATTTGACTGATGGTGATTNGCTTTAATAAATTGGAACTTTAAGGATCGTTTTGCCTTGGACTCTGATTTAATTCTACATGATACTTGGAACACTGCCTTCAAAACCGTTGACCCTCTTCTCCTGTAATCCTGGAAAGGAGCCCTTACGAGGTGCTACCAGCCAGGCCAGCTGGACCAAGGTTTTTTAAGGAGGAGTTAGTCCTCCATCACTCACCCTTTGTCCTGGCTTGTGACAGGCAGAGCCTGGCTTCCCAAACATTGGGCCCAGGATGATGGGAAAAAAGTGTTAAAATAGAAGTAGAAAAAAAGGGAATAATAGTAAAAACAGATTAAAGTAGGACGTAAAGTGAGATTTGGACATTAAGTGTGAAACCTACTGGGTCAGGCTGGACAGCCTCTCGGGGCACCTTTACTCCTATATTAAAAAGCCACATAGGCAGAGTTGCAGCTTGCAACTTGAACAGGAAGCAAGTGCCTAACCACAGAGTTCAATAGTCTCAGAAGACCACAAGGGTCAGCTAAAGTTCGCTTAGAGACACGTACTCAGTACCTATGACAAAAGAGAAGTAAGACCCCATCTTCTTATAAGGCTTTCTCCTCAAGGTAAGCAATAAGAAATGATTTAAGTGTTTCCGTGTTACGCTGCCTTTGAGAATGTATAAGAACGCGTGATTTGATGATGAAGGTTGTTCAGAATTTGCAATGTTACCTATTTCGCTAACTTTCTAAACCTGGCTGCCAAATAAACCTTTCCTGTATCCTGAGAAGTCTAAAGCCTGTCATTTTCTGCAACAAGATAATACAATGCATGTAAGAACTATGAGAAGGTTTAGAGATGAAGGACGATAGTAAAAGCTATGTATTAACAAAATGGAAAATGAAAATGAAATGTAATTATCTGAAATAATAATGTTATGTTTATTTGTATTGAAATGTATGATACCCAGGTATCATACCATCCACACAATGAGATGTATAAAATAAAATAAAAAAAAAACCTTGAAAAACAATAAATTGTTTCTTGGGGTTAAATTTAGTGCAGAAATAAATATCCCCTCCCCCAGTTCCAACACGGCTCACCTTCTTCTCTCCAGCACCGGTCTTAGCTGTTATCCTTTGATTGTCCCAGCTTTGTAGCAGCCATCTTTAGGCTTCTTCTTCTTCTTGCCCTGGCTGAGAGGGACCCCCCTCCTGGCCCAGACATGAGAGTTGCTACTCTTCCCTACCTCACAGGGTGCCCCTCTTTGCTTCACCGCTCCTTCAGAGTGGCTTTGGCTGCCTCTGGAGCCCACAAACATGAAGAATTCAGCACAGGGAATGCAGAGACCCATTCCTCTGTGTCTGTATGGCCATTACATCAACCAGAAAGCCCTTTTAAGGATTATGTATTAATAGAACAGCAACAAACTTAGCTCTGTTCCTAAATGCTAAAGCTGATGCACATAAAAAACAGAGGAGCTCTGATCAACTATCACAGCCACCATTTTGATAGTTTTGCTATACTGTTGTCTGTGGATGCCCCCACCAAATGCAAGCATGGGATAAACTGAGCCTGGTTTGTTCCACTGCCCGGGGCTCCGTCAGCCTGCACCTCCATCTGGGGGTTCGCCATGTGGCCTGAGAGGGATGACAAAGCTCCTCTGGTGGACAAGGGGGGATCCATTGTCCTCTGGAGACAATGGATCCCCACAGCCCCACCCAGGCCACCACAGGCGCCCCTGGACACCAGCGACATTGAGATGGCTGTAATAGATGTCCAGAATCGGCTTTTGGGGCTAATGTGGTCTTGGGTTTCCAGCCCCTGCCGCTTCTGGAAGTCTATTGCTGTCGTGAGGAGCCAAGGAGAGCGTGGAGAAGAGCACGAAGGTTCTTGGCACTCCGGAAAGCTGCGAAAGCAGTTGGGAGAGGTGCGCGGCTTGGTTTAGCCTCCCTGGACATCGCAGCAGCAGCCCCAAGTGCGCAGATCTCCCCATTTTTTGCATCAGGGCGTGCTGCAAGAGGGGGGGGGGAGTGAAGACCTTTTCCGGCTGGCGCAAAGGACTTCCCCGGACTTGCTTTAGTGAGCACGGGCCTGCACCTCCACCACCAACAATCCGGAAAAGGTCTTTACTCCCTGTCTCTTGCAGCACGCCCCGATGCAAAAAACACTGAGGCCTTGCAAGGTCCCCGCCACCGTCCCCACCCCCGCGTCCATGGTTTCTGGCGGCCAGGCATCTTAGGCAAGTCCGGGGACCTTGCAAAGGCCTTGCGAGGTCCCCGAACTTGTCAAAGATGCCACACCGCACCACGTAAGCTCCCGCCGCTGTCCCCACCCCTGCACCTGTGCTTTCTGGTGGTCAGGCATCTTAGGCAAGTCCAGGGACCTTGCAAAGGCCTTGCAAGGTCCCTGAACTTGTCAAAGACACCAGCTACACTGGGTAAACTCCCGCCGCTGTCCCCACCCCTGCGCTTTCTGGCGGCCATGCGGCCCTGCGCTATAAGCAAGCCTGGGATCCTTGCAAGGCCGCAAAAAATCTCGCTATAGTGCAGGGCCGTGGCAGCCCCCCACCCCATGCTTAGTTGCAGCTTACTTACCTCCTTGGAGTCAGCAGGCAGCAATAGAGAGCCAAACAGGAAAAAAGGTAAGTGGGTTTAGATAGGGTTCTTAGAGGCGGGCGGGGAGATTGGTGAGGTAGCCAATCAGTGAGTGGTGGGCGGGGCTAGGATAGTGCGGACGGGTGGGGGAAGTGAGCAACGGAGCAGCTTCTGGACGGGCGGGGGCGAGCGAGCGACAGGGCCAGGGCAGATGTTCAGGAACTTACTTCCGGGGTCCACCGGTGGAACCTCCTCTGATGATTAGCTAGAACAGGACATAAGGATTTAGTGTTAGTGGAGGATTTTAGAAATAGTAATTGAAAGGCCAGTCTGTGGTTATGTATTAAATTTTGGTATATTTTATGATGAAGGA